CTCAGGGGCATTCTGGAAGGACAGGCAAGCACTACTGTCTCTCCAAGATGCAGGACCCTCGACTGCAGGGAAGTTGCAGGCAGCACACCCATTAGACATCTCGCGCCCAGCCCAGCCCAGCCCGCTGCCCTCCCTTCAGCTCTGCCTGGCCCATCCTGCGCCGGGGCCTGTCGCAGCCTGGGTGTCTGCCTGGCCCCGCAGCACCTCCAGGAGCCTGCGGCTGCTCACAGGGCAGGCCTCCTCCAAGAGCACCTGCAAGTTCCCACATTCATTTTGTGTCCTGCTAAAACCCGAATTTCAATAACCTTTTCATGTTTACTGCTGGAGGGAAGGAAGCAAATTCCCACCCTGGGCCTTGGCAAGCCAGGGAAAAACTTGTTATGACCTTACGGGAGCAACAGAAATAGGGTGAAGCTGCATCCCTCAAAGGGCAGGATCATGGGGAATGATGAAGACCTGGTGCACCAGTGAGCCAACTGCTAGCTGCAAGTCCCCAGCAGGATAGAGCTGTGAAACAGGCCAGCCCCATCACAGGGTGCAGCAGGAGATGTATTGTATGGGAATCATTAAGTACCAGCCCTGGCATGACCTCATCTGGACTGGCATGGCCACAGAAAGATGAACTCAAAGGAGAGATGGTGCCAAGGACGGCTGCTAGCACAGGCGGGGAACAGCCCATCCAGCAGAATAAAAGCAGAGCAGGGATATGAGCCCTGTCCGCACAGGGCTAGGAGAGGAGAGCAGTATTTAAACAGCGCTGGCAAAGAAAAAAAAAAGCATAAATTGGCCAGGAATAAATCTGGATGGAAATTATCAGACAGCTCCCAAGCCTCAAAGCAGAAGACTGACGGACAGCTTTCCGCAGGGATGCTGGAAACTGAGCTGGTTTGGGGGTGGTGGGAGCTGCAAGGACTGGTGTCAGTCTGTCCTTGTGCTATTTTTCTACCTGGTATTTTGACAAGGGGGTGGAGGAAGCCATAGGTCAGATATCAAGAGACGTGGTTCTTTTGGTGTGCCATGCAGGGCCGGGGTACATGGCTCGGCAGCAGTGCTAAGCAGCTTGATTCTCTTGCAGGGATGAGGTTTGTGACAGCCACTAACACAGATTAACATGAGCAAGAGCTTTAGCAAGCAGGGACAGCCACCTGTGCTAAGGAGACTTGGGCCATCAAGAGACAGATACTGTGAACATGCTGCCTTTGCACAGGAGGAATCCTCGGGGAGAGGATGTACAAGCAGAGAAGTCAGCAGCTCCAGGCCACTCGGGTGCAGGAGAGCTGGAAGGTCTCGCTAAAATCTGCTCCCAGCCAGGGAGCCACAGGGATGCCGGCACAGAAGGCACGCTGTGAAGCCTGCAGAGATCAAAACGTCAGTCTGCTCTCAGAGTATGACTTCACCCACGTCTTGTCACAGCAGCTGCATCAAGTCACATGCCAGGAGTTGCCAAGAGTGGCAGGAGCTGTTAACCATCACGCTGGATCGTCCCACTCCAGGGACGGATACAGCAAGGAACACTCCTCAAAATAAACACTGAGCGCACAGCACCCGTCTTGGGTTAGCAGCACAGTCCCAGCCGTCCCAGCCAGGATACTACACATACTGTCCACAAAGCAGACACACAGACTTCTGCAGATGAGGGATAAAGCCCCTCTCCTCCTGGAGGACTGCCAGACCAGCCTGATGCTCGAGCAAACGGAGGCTGCTCATCAGGCAGCTCTTGTACCGCACCTCACAGAAGCTTGGTCAGCAGCCAAGCAATCCCGGCTGGAAAGACACAGTAAGTAGGAACAGGGGACCCCGGAGTTACCTCTCATGACTTATCATGAATGCTCTGGCTTCAAGCTGGCACAGCGGAACCCAAGATGCAACTGTGAGGGCACTGCAGATCTCAACCAGATAGTGGTGTGGAGGCAGGGGAGCGGGCAGTATGGCTTTCAGGCGTGTGTCTGCAGCAGCAGTCCCCGAGCACAGGGCTCCCCTTGCTGCGCCTGGGAACCAGGCCCAGCTGGCAGGCTACAAATGCAGAGATAAATTTGCACTTCTCCCTCCTGCTACTCTAAACCAACTGAGAACTTGTACAGCATGCAGCTCTGGCTAGTGCTAACTACAAGAAATTGCAGCTCCTCATTCTCAAGCTTTTGATTTTTTTTTGGATGACTGATAAACCCAAAAGCAAATACACCGGTACCTCTAGAGACGCTCATGGGAACTATTTATATCGATGTGATCCTGCAGAAGCTTCCCCATAATGACAGGCATGTACACATATTTTTTATATTTAGCTTATTCGAAAGACTGGGCATGGGAGAGCCCAGCTCAGACAAGGTCTATTTCTTTTTCCCCTCACTCACACTTGCTGGCACTGGATTACACCTCATACTGTAGCCCTAACCAGTTCAGCATTCCCTGAAAAAGGGAGAAGTCTAAGTCTAAAAAGCGCCTTTTTGCTGCTATTCCATTCCATGCTCCCGCTTCACCCACAGGGTGGGATTTCTCTGGCCTTGCTGCCAAAGCCAAAACATGCCACACACCCTCCTGGGGCTCTAGTGTAAGTAAAGAGAGCTCCCGCATCTGCTTTTCTCTTTTAAAGGAGTATTTTGGAACACAATGACTCATCTTTGCTTGGTTTTGTCTCAGCTCCTTGTGCTGACAAGGAACACAAGCCGCAGGGAGTATAAAGGCTCCTACAGTGGTCAAATCTGGCCCAGGTGAAAGACAAACCAATGCCAACACCAATGTTTCCAGTGGACACAGTGCCTGTACGGCCTTCTGCTAACGAAGGGCTGCATTTGCAAGGAAGCTGAGCTGAACAAAAATGTCGTCTCCCTTACACTGTGTTAAACAACAGCTCTCTCAGGACAGACTTCAGTTTTGGGGAAAGAACTCATGGTTTTTATGTTCATGTTTTTTTTTTTTTTTTTGAACAATTTTTAATTTAGCGCCCTGTTCCATGAAGTGTAAGAATGCAACAGCATGAAGAAGGGGCAGCGGGATGCCCTTTTGTGAAACAGTCCTGGAGGGACACGCAGCTCCCGAGCCCAGGCAGACATGCTTGTGGTGGAGAAGATGATGTGCAGAGGCAGTTGTACAACAGAGCTTTATAGTCAGAATGGATTGTACCAAGTTTTTTCGATGCAAAATGGAACATGACCCAAAATTGTCACAGAACAGAAGCACTTTCAGGAACGCAGCCAGCTGAAGATTGAACGCCTGCCTGCCTTTTCGCAAGAGAGGCCGCAAACCAGTCACGTCCCAATCCACTTTTTCCTCCCCAGACGTGCAAAGTTTGAACTGTCCCATGCAATTTCCAAAAATGAAATGTAGTAATGCTCAGCGAAGTAGGCAAATGCTAAACAGACCTGAACAATATACTGCTCATGCAGCAAAAAACCCAGTTTGTTTTATAGGGAAACAGAAGTGCATTTTGGGGGCTGGGGGAAAGAAAAAGAAAAATGGAGCAGGTAACTGCCTGCTGGTCAAGACAACTCTGCAGTGGATAACGGATCAAAAGAACACCTTGCTTTACAGGGATGTAGAAGGAAACCCCAGTTCGCATTTCATGGTTGGCATTTTACAACAAAAAGGGGAGAGGGAGAACAAAACCAAACCTCAAATCAACCTGCAAGCAACAGGGTAACGTAATGCACAGAACCTGGAGGGAGCTTCATTGTCTGAGCTGTGAAAGGGACACGAGAACCAAAACAGAAGGGGGTATGGAGAACTAACGAGCTCCATCAAACACAGGGGCTGCTCACTGAGACACAGGCAAGCGTGAAGGGCTGGCCTGTAGTGCCCATCCAATGGCAACCGATGCTGCTGAGCAGGTACCAATCCACGGGTTTAAGTTCAAAGCAAAAATTAAAAGGCTTCCCAAACTCATGGGATAGGAGAAGGCTCTCCACTTGGGGCAGGGAAAGGCAGCACGTTGGCTGCTGGGAGGCTTGGCCCAGTAAACACGGCTGCAGTATTGACAGAAGCTGGAGCAGGAAGGACACTGTCTGAGCTACAGTGGTTGTCCCTCTCAGTGTAGAGAGGCAGACGGTCTTTTACAGCATGACTGTAAAATGCCTGAGAAGCAAATGCCTTGCCATGCTAACACTTCCCTGTGGACAGTTCTGAAGCTCTGGATATCTTCATTTCCACACGAGAGTCATGTCCCTGAGAGGTACCGAAGGGAGGGGATTCTAGTATATGCAAATTCAAGGGTGGGAAATGCAGAAAAGCACTGATTTTCCTCTCTCTTTTTCAGGTTAGCTTTGCACTTTGCATTGTTTTCCCAAACTGCATAGCAGCTTACGTGTAGTGTCTGAGACACTGGGGCCACGGAAATCAATGGGGCTTCATGAATTCCAACAGCAGCACCAGTGAGTGCTAATTAAGCTGCTGTGCAGAAAGGTCCTGTTCAAAGGACTCCAAAATCACACGCACACTCTCTCACTCTGGCCCTGCAGCTGCTGTTTTAGAGAGCTGTACCATAGTAGCATGATCTGCTCGATTTAAAGCTCATCAACTGCTGGGTGGAGAAATGGCCAATACCACTTTTCTCATTAAAAAAATAGGAAGGATAAAAAGTTAAAGACTTGAGACAGGCGAGCACGATGCGTTCATGCGGCATGTTTTGTTGCACTCCTCTTAACAAGACAGGAATTTCAGGTGTGCAGGAGTGGAATATAGCAGGAGCAGAGCAGGAGGCAGGTCCCCTTCACCTCCCATACCCTACCAGCTACCCAACGGGGCATCTCTGGAAGGAGAAAAAACGACAGCCTGGAAGTGGGCCTGGGAACCTTACTCAAGTACATCTCAGCTGGATTTTCGTTGTGTAACGAATGCACCAAAACAGCACACACAGATGCAAAGCTTTTGTTTTGCCAGCTCTGTTTTGAGAGAATATATGGCAAACGGCCAAAGCTTTACACATCTGCACCTGTCCTGGTGTGACTCATAAGAAAACATGGAGACAGCCACGATAGAAGAGTCCATGGCGCGTACATGTGGCCAGCCTACAGCTCCTCATAGTCCCCACCTCCTCGCGGCTTGCTCATGCTGGCTCCTCCTCCTCCAAGAAAAGCCTCAAGTTCATCTATTTCGTTGTTTTTCTCCTTGCTCTTCTTCTTCTTTTTCTTTTTATCCTCTTTGCTCTCCTCCTTCTCTTTGCTCTTCTTGTGTTTGCTCTTCTTTTTCACAGACTTCTCCTCTTCCTGCAAAATGAGAAAATTTTTATTAGTAAATCCTCTGAGCATGCCAGTAACCCAGCATATATCTCCCTGAAACTTGGCTCTGACGGGAACCTTACTTAGGGTGAAGCATCTACTACCAAGGCTGGCTTGGAGTTAAGTCCAGAAGACCCTTCTGCGTGTTTGGACAGAAGAGAGGAAAGACCATCTGGTTTGTATGTAGCAGTGGTCTGTCAGGCAATTTGTGCCCGACAATACCACAGTATTGGACAGGCAGAAATGTCAAAGACAAAGCCTCCTGCAGACTTTCCTCGCTGCCTCTGAGATTGGGTCTGTTGCGGACACCTCTCTGCTTGGAAAAAGTCATGGTGCTATCAACAGACTCAGCCCAGCAGAGACACACTGCTCTATTTAGTCCTGTATTTTACAAACTCACACACTGCCTTTTCAAAATTCAACCGTTCTAAAAGCTTGCTTTTAAGCTGCAAAGTGGTTAATGGTCTGCAGAGCCTGGGAGGCACAGATCCACCTGTAGGATGGGAGAATGGAAGGAAGTCCACCAGGTACACCGAGTACACTGTAGAAGGCCACCCCTCTCCTTGGCTGGTAGGTAATATGGCAGATCAGCTCTGAGGAATTAAATAGTACCTCTTTGCTTTTCTTTTTCTTCTTCTTTTTCTCCTTAGAAGGTTGTTTATCTGCTCAAAAAAAAACAACAACATTGGTTTTAATCAATTTAAACCACAAGAGATGCAATTCTGCCCTGCCCCGATTTCTGAGAATAAAATGCTCCATCCTGGAGCCACATGTAAAGGCGACTCCCCAGGACAAACTGCGCCCCCTTAGAAACCAACATAGGCCCCAGCAGTCACACCCTAACTTAACCATATACATTTAGTTTAATTATGAGCATTATATTATCTATATTATTCTGTGTTATGAACACTGACCTGGGCGTTCACTGTATCACAGCTACTAAGAAACAAATACAGAGACCAGCTCTACAAACTGGTCCAAAGGCCAAATTGGAGACCAGATTATTATTTCCAGAACTGAAGAAGAGCTCCTGGGAACAATTTCCCTCTGACCACTAAATATTCGAAGGCAGATAGAAATCCCACCGGGCACAGTTTGTGCTTCTGTGAGTTGAACTAGTAACGGAAGGACCATTCAGGACACAGTGTCAGCAGACGGGAGCACCCTAGCAGGCTAGCACTCACCATTGTTCAAACTGTGTATGGAAATTGTATCACCACGAGGCCAAAGCCTCAGTGCTGCAGCCCTGCTCTACAGGAGTGGCACTTTCACGGTATCAAATGCGTCCCAGAGTCCATCACCGTCAAATCATTTGTCCCACGTTATTGTGGTTGATAACTTGGCTGCTGAATGTCCACTGCCTTTGCACAAAAACTCCTTGAACAGGAGAGTATCTACTTGGCTGTTTCACAGGAGGGTTCATAACTGCACCACGTTTCACGTGTGGTATTTGATTGCCAATCTTACCTACACATTCTTTTCCTTCGTTGATCTATGAATACAAGTCAGCCATGGAGAAGTCTAATTACTGGTCAAGCTCCAACTACCAAGACATGTTTTTGTATTTATCCCAGAAAGAGGAGATAGGAGGAATGCACGTTGAATTATTAAAGATGCTAAACTGAAGTTAAATTATTGACCTGGGCCTCTGCAGATGCACTTCTAGCTATTTCAAGCTGTGCTGTTCAGCAATTCAAAGCGACAAGTCGATGAAGCCATCGCAGCCTGTGACACCTTGCTTACACTTTTGGAATAGCTATTCCAAGAGATCTCTCTCTGGTGCTGGTTACAGCTTTTTCTCCCCTTAAGTCTTTAACTTCTCATTTTTTGTGGTGACATCAGGGGCAGATCTATAGGAAGTTGCTTTGCAGTAATGCCAAGACAACAGAAATTATTTGTGCAGGTAAGATTTGTTCCCTCAGGGGACGGGGGGAAAAAAAAAGCTTGAGGAATGCTTAGGTTGTGATCAGAACCCCACCCCACCTTTCCCAAAAATAGAACAGCAAATTGGCAGGGTATGTCAGAGCATTTTGCTCAAATTGATCCAAATTCTTGAGGGGGTGGACACTGCAATGCTGAGCACCGCTTCCCAGGCATGCAAGGCTAAGCAGGAAGTCCTATACAGAAGCAGCTTGTGAAAGATGTGCTCCTGCTTCCAGCTGGGACAGAAATAATACATGGCTGATGCCACAATGAGCCCAGTTCCCCCCCTCCCCATGGGGAAAAACTTAAAGAAAGTTCTTTATGCTGAGTTAAACCACATTAAAGACTCATACAGGGCACTGCATGAAGTTACAGGATATTTTATTTAGTGCAAATTGGTTTGCTTACACCCTGGAACCATTTTGGAAAAAACAGATGCCTGACAAACTAAATCAGCAAGAGTGGAAATAAGGTGTAACCTTTACCTTCCTCACTGCTCTCCTTGGGACCAGTTTCTTCCAAACCCAAACCGAAGAGATCTGAGTCATTTTTCAGTTTAAAGGAGTGGACCGTTGATTTTACAGGCTGGGGTGCCTTTGCCAACGAGGTATCGTCATCAGATATTTCAGAGAAATCTTCCCGGACCGGGAATTCATCCTAGAGATGAGAAAAGGCAGACAACACAGACAAACCTTTCAACCAAAATCTCTATAAACATTTTGTATACAAAGACGTCAGATGTCAGCAGGAGGAGGGAAGGCAATGGTAACTGAACTGAGCTGTTATTGCCTGGAAATCAACGCACTTGATCTTATAAGCTCGCTCTATTTCTTGCCGTGGTAAAATGTCTCAGTAGCATTGGTACTGGAAAGTGTGCTCTAATAACTCAACATTCGTGCTACCAAAATCAAATTTCTGATGTAAAGGGATTAAACAAGACCTTCAACTATGTTAGCTCAACAGCATCAGCCTCTAACTGCCCTGAAACCCACCTCTGTTTTGGGGAAAGTAAAATTTAGTAAGCTGAAAACTCACCTCCAGACCTGACAGACAACACTTTTTCCTGTGTAGCCCTGCGGGGTCTCACGTACCAGAGGCAACGTGCAGCAGGGCCAAGGCAGCGGTCTATGTTTGCAGAATAACTCCCTTCATCGATTCAAAAGGGAATGTGCTACCAGGGCAAATTTGCCCCTTCAGTGTGGGCTAAAAAACAGGATGCTGCAGAGACTGGATATCACCCAAAAATCCTCTGTCTCTGCATGATGGGAATGGAAATGAAGTTTAATGATCTTCTGATACCTGCCAACTGATCCTCTTCAGAATTCGTTAACCACCTTTATTTATATCCTCCAAACACGGCCTTGCTCTGCTGCTGACTTAGGCGATGCCCCTCTTCTCCTTGCTAATGGTGGTGTTTTTACTGCTTTGCCTGACTGGTAAACCTTGAACTTAAAAAGCATTCAAGTTGCGCGGCATCTCTCTGACACTGTTGCAATGGCAAGCTCCCTCACAAATTCTGTTTCTCCTCATCACATGCTAAGAGAAGTAAACTTGCTGCAAATGCTTTTGCTTTCACATTAAAGTGCCAGGAAAAGCAAGTACTGAAACAGCTAAATGAATGGAAAATTCCTTAATAAACAGCATGACACATAGGCAAGGTCAAAAAAACTGGGACAACTGTTCTTTCTGCAGGATTCTGGAATGATGCAAACACATAAAACACTCCTGAATACCAGCTAACCCAGACACCAGGACTACCCCTGAAAAGCAATTGCCCATCCCAAATCACGGGTAGCAGTTTCTAGAGATTGTTCTGCTGGCTGCGAGTGCAGATCACTGAAATCCGGGATATCTAGAGCCACAGCAGCAAGCTCTTACCAGCCCAGAGAAGATGCTTGTGTTTTGTCCATCTTTAATACACGACAGGTGCAGAGGGGACTCCTGCTGCACCGTGTGTTTGAGCAGACACCTGCAGGCAGCACTGAGCAGCTGCCCACGTGTTCAGCATCACAGAGACATTACAGCTAACCTGGCTATACTGGAAAGTCCTTCTCAGGCAGATTTTCCTACTTCAGCAAGGAGCTTTGCCAAGTAAATTTTGTTATGGCCTTTTGATTGCCGAATTGACTGTAGGGAGCTCACTTGTTCTCTCTCTCTGACATGCACACACTTCTACGTATTAAACTTTGGGTGAAAACCATTAGATTTTTATACCATAACTTCCACACTGCTGGACTGACTGTGCTCTGGACTTACTGAGAATAAACAGCACATTAAAAGCCGTAAGCACAAACCTTGTTGCCGTGTGGCTTCAACAATCAGAGCATTAGTGGGTTTGTGCTTCTATCAATCTCTTCAGGTAGCTTAGCACCTGATTCGCCGTGACTGGCATTGAGAGATGGGAGAGCAGATGAAAGCTCTGCTCAGTGAGATGCCTCAATACTTCAAGCAGCAGCGCACAGCAATTCATGCATGCTATTTACCATTTTCTTCTTCTGGCTGTCAGAATCCTCACTTTCGAAGTCTGGGTCATCCATAACAAATGAGAGCATCTGAGTAGCTATTGGTCCCTCTTGATCACTGTCAGACTCCTCAGGCTTTTCCTCTTTGACCACTTTCTGCTTGAGAGCATGTCCTTTGCTTTGGGAAGCGGTCTTTGGGGCCTGGACTGCTGCTGGGGTGGCAGCAGCAGCAGCTGGCAGGCTAGCATTGAGCTTGCTGCTGCTGTTTCTTTCGGACCCAGAATGTGGAGGTAAACTGTCAGGAGGCTTCGGGTCAGTTGCTTTGGTCAAAATTGCTTCACTCTGTGGCTTCAGAGAATTTCTGGAAGACCTGAGAAGAAAGAAACATTGTCAGAGCCTGTCTACACTCCCACTCTGTGAAGCAAAGCATAAACACCAACTAATAGCTAAGCCTGCCTCAAGGGCTGCAATGTGCATCTCAACAGGAGAGGTAGTTCATCTAGGGGTGGGTGTGTGTTCAAACACATACCACTCAGAGGCTGAAGATGGTCCTCTTCCCTGAGGATGCCCATGCACAGGTGCCTCCACCAGCGGGCCATGCCTGACAATCACCCACAAGATGTGGCATGTGGAGAACATGATCCAGCTCATTGTTCTCCAGCACAGGGTGTGGTGAATGACTTCCACTCCCCTCACCGCAAGACTCCTCTGCCCTCCTCACACCGCTACGAACAGACGTTCGGGCGCTCAGTTACAGTCTCTTGTTCAAACTTGAGAAAAAGGCTGGGCCATTCCCAAGCAGAAACGTATCAGTGACCACAGGAGCACAGTGCTCAAAGGCATGCTGTGAAGGTGCAGTGCAGAAAACACTGTATAAAGCAGTCACACCTGAAGTAAATACAGCCCCAGCTTACAGCTGATGGAACAGGCTGATAGAGACACCAAGATCTCCCAGAGGCTGCAGGGAAGTCAGTGGCAGGACAGAGAAGAGGTCCAAGTTTGCCAGCACAACCCCACACTTCAGGCTGTGCTTCGTACCTTTTTTTTTCCTGCTCCGTGTCGATGTCTTCATCAGGTATGAGTATGACCTTAGAGTCCTTCACCTCTTCCTCCTCCTCCTCACTGGAGAGGGTGACGTTCTTGCTGGGCACCCGTTCTACTGCTGCCAGCACGGGTCTGCTGGGGATTTTGTCATCCAGATCCAGGTCGTCTTGGAAACCTGCCACCATGGGGTTCCCCCCGGGCGCCTCTCCATCGCTGCAAAATAGACAATGATCAGACACAGCACCCCCAGGATGTGCTAGGACAGACATGCCTCCCCTTGAAAGCAGACTGCCGCTTGCCTGGCTCAACCAGCCAACTTCAGGGTCAACGTCCTTCAGCCCGGGGCAGCTGCACTGCCAGCGTCCCCCCTGCGCACTGCCCAGCTGCTGCCCCGTTCAGGCTGGACCTGCACCCTGCAGGCTGCAGGGGTGGCACATGCCCTATACAAAACAGGCCGCAGTAGGATGTGTGGCTGCTACTGCTCAAGCCGAAAATAAATGCCTGGAAAAGGTGAGCCTCAGTGCTACAGAGCAGCCTGCTGCTTCAGGTCTATCAGAATATCTCTGGTCCAACATGCAAGGATCAGCCAATTAAACCGTGGGAACTGCCTGCCTTAATCCCCACATCCTGTAATTAAATCTGATCATAGACTGCCACTACTATGGGAATTCACTTGCAGCTATTAACTTCCTGGAATTATTTCTATTTCTCTGGTGCTCCCTGAAGCAGGCAGCTACCCAGACACCATAACCATGCTTTAACACTCCCCAAATTAAATTAACCTAAGGACACACTTTTAGAGCTAGGATTCTGTCAGACTCCCTGGATGTAAGACAGTTATGTGTTCAGAGGCATCTTGATAAGAGAGCTTCGCAACTGAAATTACCAGCTGAGGATTCTTGTCTGAATGTCCCCAGGACTCAACAATTTTAATACTTTCTGAAGGATCTGCTCATGTCAGGAATATAGCTATTTTCCCCGGCCTCGGCTGATGAGCCTCCGCATCCCCCGTCCTCATTCTATTTGCTTTATCCGCAAGATACCCAGCTCCTTCCTGATAACCTACCATATACAATAGTCACTGTCCTTTTAATGACTCAATACGGATTGTACAAACACAGCTTTCATTTTTACGCAGAGACAAAAAAAAAAACGATTATAGCTTGGAACAGATTAGATTTTAGAGGCACAAAAGAAATCACAAAAACCTAAAATCCTTAATCTGGAAGAAGGTGGTGTTCCCAGTCACTAGCACTCGGCCAGCACTGGAAGAGACAGTGGAGGATGGTGTGCTGATGTGATGGGAAATGCCGAGGCCCTAACACAGTCCAGCTGATTGTACTACTCACTCTGGCTCTTCTTACGGCTAGTTACTGGTTTACAAGTTAGTTTTAAAGAATTAATACATCTGCCAACATATAATGGAGTTACTTGTGACATACGGGACACCACACTTAGATAACCGGTGCAGCACATTGAGAGTGATTACAATCAATGCTTGTCTGGGTTAGAGCGCTAAGATCAGGCCTAACACCCACTCCACATCCCTCCTTCTGCTTTTGGTGTGGATCCCTCTGCTTTCAGGACTCACAGCGCAGCTCCCAGCTAAGCAGAAGCAGGCTGCTGAAGACTCCCTTCATCATTAACACTGCTGCTCTCATACCGAGCCAGAAAGGAGGCATACAGCATACAAAACCAAACAGGGTCCTCAGCCTTTGTCCCACACAAAGGAGAAGAAAATTGGTGCCCAAAACAGCCTCCAAGGCTGGAGGAATTATAAGTGAGTGATTTCTGAGATCTGCGAAGCAGGGTTTCCTCTTGAAATGCGCTGAAAAGAAAATGGAGTTGCATCCTAAAAATGGCAGGATTATTATTCTGAATTAGTGACACTGCATTTCTTTAACATGTCACTGCTCTATTAAGCACAGGCACTCTTCAGATTGCTGCCACTGTCCTCTACTGCACACTATACGAGACTTGCAGCCTTTAAAGCATTCCAGTCCGAACAGAACATCCACGTGTGTAGACACACCCACACAAAGTGGGTCATCTCCCTTTGCAGTGAATACACTGCCTCCATCTATAACTTCCACACAAATTGTTGAGCGACAGCTTAAGAGCAAAGCAATGAAGTGAATATATGTCAGGAAAATCACTGCTGCAGTATAAACAAGGTCTGACAATGCAAAATTAGTATCAGTTTGTGGTCCTGAGGTTCCAGCTGTGAAGGAATTCAGAGCATGCAAAAACAAGCACATTGCACCACTCTCTCCAGCACTTGGCGTGCTGCCAAGCCTGCATTAGTGTTGAGCCAACGCGTTTGCAGGTGCAGGTACCCACCAAAAATTATGATGCTTGCCGAAGTCTGCGTCTGAGCTACTGATCAAAGAGCACGTCGAGGTTTCCTCAGTGAACCCTCTGTCGTGTACACAGAACGGCTGCTGGTGATGAAACAAATCCTGCTGCAACCTGAGCACACGGTCTCAAACCCGGATCGACCATGTCCTACCAGCCCTGCTGTGTGGCCAGCAGAGCCAGCCCTCTGGGCAGCCAGCAGAATCCTCTTGCCACATCAGTTTTTGGGGCTAGAGAAAGAGGAAAAACCCAAACTCTAATAAAGCAGATAAGCTGAGGGAATCACATGCCCCAGGATGAGCCTGCAAGACTATATTCTAGGAGATGGGGTCTTCTAGTGTGAAGTGAACAGGGTCCTCAGCTTCTCTCACTTGATCTAGTGCAGCTGGGTACTACTATATAAGTAACAGATACCATAAAAGCAAAGAACCAGTTCAAAGCCCTTCAGATGTAAGGACAAGAAAATCTAATCAATGTTTGAGATAAATGTTTAGTGATGTGGAATCTGTTAGGTACAGCATAAACTCGCTTTCAGACACCTATGGCCCACGCATGGACCTAGGCCAGCCTGACCCAGCAGGAGGGAAGAGGAGAGCCTATTTGGAGCCAGATTAGCTCCTCCGGTACAGTTGCATACACACTGGCTCAGGGCATCAGGCTAAAGAGCAGCAAATCAAGTTCTGCAATAGTAAATTGAGAGATTGAACTGCCTTCCTAATTAACTGGTAAAGAAACTGATTTTGGGAGTTCTCTTTATTGCAAGCTAGAGAACCATAACATGCCATTAAACAAAACCCAGGACTCCATTAATCTCCAAAGATCTGTGCTGGGATTTAGCTATAGCAACGCCAGGAGACATCAGTAAGTGCTGAAAGTCTCGGCAGCTGTCTGATCTTTGGGCAAGAGCAGCCCTGTTCCACAGGCATGAGCTCATTTCTCACTGCTAGCACGCTTCAGAAAAAAAAAAGTGGTTTTTTCTGACATTATTGCTCCATGTCAACTCTTGCTCCATTGTTTAGAGACATTACGGGGTAGGGAATGGGAGAAGTTCACATAATATCACTGCAAAAAAATCAAGAATTCCCTACGTCACCAAAACGGACGAGAAATACCAGATTTGACAGCCTCTTTCTGAAGCTCAGAAAGGAAAAGCAAACAAGTTCTTACAAATGGAAGCAAACACACCCGTGTTCAGGAAGCAGTTCATCATAACATACATCGTAACATAGCATAACATCCTGCTTCCAACAACAAGCACAGGTGGAGTGCATGCAGCTCTGCCTGGGGATGGATGAGGAGCCAACTGAGAGCTTATGGGTGAGGATTCAAGAGAGGACAGGTAAAGGTGACACTATAGTGGGTGCCTGCAACAAGCTGTCCGACTAGGAAAGATAAGTTGATCAGGCCCTCTACAAAAAGATAGGAGCAGCCTCTTGTTCGCAGGCCCTGGTCCTCATAAACTTCAACCACTCCTGTATCTGCTGGAGGGACAAGACAGCAGGACGTAAGCAATCCAGGAGGTTCCTGAAGTGCACTGATGATAAATTCTTCCTCCGGTGACAGAGGAGCCAATGAGGAGAGGTGCTTTGCTGGATCTCATACCCACAAAAAATGAGGGGCTTGTTGGGAAGGTGATGGTCAAAGGCAGCCTTGGTGGAGTTCAGGCTCCTGAGGGTAGGGAGGAGGGTAAAAAGCAAGCTGGACTTCAGGAGAGCAGACTTTGGCCTCTTCAAAGATTTGCCTGGAAGAGTCCCATGAGATAAGGCCCTGGACGGAAGAAGGGCCCAAGAAAGCGGTTAATATTCAAGAATCGCATCCTCCAGGCTACAGCGGTCCATCCAAACGTATAAGGAGTCAGGCAAAAATGCTATGAGGCCTGCGCATATGAACAAGGAGCTCCTGGACAAACACAAACACAAAAAGGAAGCATACAGAGGGTGGAAGGAAGGATAGGCAGCCTGGAAGGAATACAGAGACATTGTCCGAGCATCCAGGGATGAAGTCAGGAAAGCTAAAGCCCCAGAGGAATTGAATCTGGCCAGGGATTTCAAAGACAGCAAGAAGGGCTTCTGTAAGTACACTGGTGACAAAAGGAAGACTATGGAAAATGTGGGCACATTCCTTAATGAGGCAGGAGACCTGGTTACACAGGACATGGAAAAAGCTGAAGTACTGAATGCCTTCTTTGCCTCAGTCTTTACTTTACTTTACTGGGATTCTCAGGAATCCCAGGTCCCAGAGATCAGGAGAATAATGTGGAGCAAGGAAGATGTACCCTCAGTGGAAGAGGATCAGGTCAGGGATCCTGGACAAAGGAAAACTGGACATACATAAGTCCATGGGCCCTGATGGGATGTAGCCACGAGTGCTGAGGGAGCTGGCAGATGTCATTGCGAGGCCACTCTTGATAATCTTTGATCAATCATGGCAATTGGGAGAAGTGCTTGAAGACTTTCCTGAAGAGGAAAGCAAACGTCACTCCAACCTTCAAGAAGGGCAAGAAGAAGGACCCAGAGAACTACAGCCCAGTCAGCCTCACCTCGATCCCTGGGAAGGTGATGGAGCAGCTAATCCTGCAAACTATTTCCAGGCACATGAATGACAAGAAAATCATCAGGAGTAGTCTGCATGGATTTACCAAGGGTAAGTCATGCTCAACTAACTTGATAAAAGTCTATGATGCAATAACTGGCCTGGTAGATGAGGGGAGAGCAGTGGACACCTGGACTTCAGTAAGGCCTTTGACACTGTCTCCCATAAGATCCTCATGGGGAAGCTGTTGATGTACGGGCTGGATGAGCACACAGTGAGGTGAATTGAAAACTGGCTGCATGGCTGGGCCCAAAGGGTGGTGATCAGTGGCATGAAGTCTAGTTGGAGGCCAGTAACTAGCGGTGTGCCCCAGGGATAAATACAGAAATGCTGGCAAGCTGCATAAGCTTAACATTCGGATACCTGCTTAAAAATGTTCAGGAGACCTGAACGCATCTCTCTAGTATGTTCTCAGGCTTTGTTCCTCACTCAGATGCAAGGGGAAAGCAGCTTCCAGTATTTCATTTTTTAAAGCCAATAAAATCTCTATTAGGTTTGAGTGGTTTCAGAGAAGAACTTTTATGTTCTTTAGGTCAGAGATAAATTTCTGCAGCAGTAGACTTTGTTGCAACTACAATAGCCTACTCACTGCAGTAGAAGCTGATTGTTACGGACGGTGCTTACAGAACTCTTATGTTGCTCCTGGGCATCATGGGGTTGTAATTGGCATCCTTAAGGAAATTAATTATTGCAGGTGATGGTCAGAACCACATCTACATCTCTGAATTTCGGCAATCTGGCTTATTGTGGTAGGCCCTTTTTGGCAAGAAACAGAAAGTAAAACTGCCAGACCACTGAGAAAACTGTGTGAACTATGGAAGAAACCAGAGCAAGACAAGCTGCAGAGAAATAACGAGCATTTGAATCTGCAGGGATGTGCTGCAAGGTCTTCTCCTAGGGAACCAGAGCTGTTATAACTGCAGATGGTTACCACTGTCATCAAAGGATGAAGCTGTGAATAAGTACCCTCTCTGTGCTCTGTGAAAGCCCAATGGTGTCTCTCTTTCTGCCCCCACCAGCTCATATGCACTGGAAGGCTACCAAGACTGGGGACACAGTACGGAAGGGCATCATAGCAGCCAAGAACATGACAACTCTACAACCACGGAGCAGGGCTCTTGCACCACTGTTTGAGATGTTTGGCTTTTTCTATAGTTTAACACCTATTTGCTTCCAACAGCTGATGTTCTGGAGAACAGAAGACTTTGTTAAAGATCCAGCCTCCTACCCACAGCAAGAACTGCAGCTACAGAGCTTCTAAGGGCACTCCAAGATCCAGTCCTTCAGCAAACCCCAGGAAGGTCAGGCTTGGCTCTCCTGACATTTCCCTGTTAAACACAGAAAAATATCTCAGCTCAGCCACAGCCGCGAGCAAGACACTTTGTAGGCCAGCATGCTTCTAGCAGCCACCACTTTTTTTTCTTTCTTTCCTTCCTTTTTTTTTTTTTTTAATAAAATATCCACGTGTTCTACCATCACAAGGGATGATGATTCAGGCTGACCTGCATTAGACAGGCATAGAGCTTCACACACAGCATTGATTTCAAGTTGTTGTGGTTGAACTAGAGAACACTGTATCACCACAAAGATGTCAAAAGATGGAGAATCCACCACATTCACAGATGAGCTGTATCGGCGTTTAATTACTCTCCTGGTTAATCCAGTGTTGATGATAAGAGGGATGCAGAGCCTGTGTGTATGCTTAGGTCGCCTCTTAAATGACAGTCTGCTTTCAGATAGCTTGCTGCATATCCTCTTGTCTGAGCAGCTCAGTATACACAATCTCTTTTCCCTTTTTTTGGTTAAAAAACATCAAAGCCAGGAAAAGAAAAAAAAGAAAAGGAAAAAAAAAGAAAATCCAGCCTACAGCATAAGCACAGCTCTCTGCCATTTGGACAACAGAATTATAGAATCATAGAATAGTTTGGGTTGGAAGGGACCTTTAAAGGTCATCTAGTCCAACGCCCCTGCAATGAGCAGGGACATCTTGAGTGAGACCAGGTTGCTCAGCACCCTGTCCAACCTGACCTTGAGTGTTTCCAGGGATGGGAAATCTACCACCTCTCTGGGCAACCTGTTCCAGTGTTTCACCACCCTCATCGTAAAAAATTTCTTCCTTCTGTCTAGTCTAAATACACCCTTTTTTAGTTTAAAACCATTACCCCTTGTCCTATCACTACATGCCCTTGTAAAAAGTCCCTCTCCAGTTTCTTATAAGCTCCCTTCAGGTACTGAAAGGCTGCTATAAGGTCTCCCCGGAGCCTTCTCTTCTCCAGGCTGAACAACCCCAACTCTCTCAGCCTTTCTTCGTAGGAAAGGTGTTCCAGCCCTCTGATCATTTTCGTGGCCCTCCTGTGGACCCACTCCAACAGGTCCATGTCTTTCCTGTGCTGAGGATTCCAGAACTGGATGTAGTACTCCAGGTGGGGTCTCACGAGAGCGGAGTAGAGGGGCAGAATCACCTCCCTCTTTTGATGGCCACGCTTCTTTTGATGCAGCCCAGCTACAGTCAGCCTTCTGGGCTGCAAGCACACATTGCCAGCTCATGTCCAGTTTGTCATCCACCCGTACCCCCAAGTCCTTCTTGGTAGGGCTGCCCTTAATCCCTTCATCCCCCAGCCTGTACTGATACCGGGGGTTGCCCCGACCCAGGTGCAGGACCTTGCACTTGGCCTTGTTGAACCTCATGAGGTTCACACGGGCCCACTTCTTGAGCTTGTCCAGGTCCCTCTGGATGGCATCCCATCCCTCAGGCGTGTCGACCGACCCACTGTGTCATCTGCAAATTTGCTGAGGGTGCACTCGATCCCACCGTCTATGTCACTAATGAAGATATTAAACAGTACCGGTCCCAATATGGACTCCTGTGGGACACCACTGGCCACTGATCTCCATCTGGACATTGAGCCGTTGACTACCACCCTCTGGATGTGACCATCCAGCCACTTCCACATCCACCGAACAGTCCGTCCATCAAATCCACATTTCTCCAATTTAGAGAGAAAATGCTGGGAAGGAACATTAGAAATGGACACAGAAAAAGAAAGGCACCCCCTAAGACTTTTTTTGAATCTGCAGGCAAGCATGCAGTGACACTCCCAAGGGAGCACAACCCTCTCCATCCTTCCTTCCAGAATCCCATCGAGCCATGGAGTGCCCCCAAGTGTGCTCCAATAAACACAAACCCCTTTATAATGCCTCAGGAATGGCAGTACCAGGCCATGAAGGAGCCTGGCCATGTTTTGGACCTCTGCAGCGGGAAAGTATTCATCAGGCAAAACATAATATCCCTGCAAAGTGCACTGTGTTCCAGAAGGAAAATATCTCAAATGTTTCAGCACATTTGGCCAAAAGAGAAATCCCTTCCTGACCCAAAGCAACCCAGTGGTTTAACACTAAGCATGAAAGCAAGACAGCAAAACCAGGAGGTGATAACTAGCTTTTACTGCTGTTCCTCATTCCCAGGGAGCAGTATGTATCATTAAATGGGAAACAATGAATGCTATGACTGACTATACCACAGCCAGAAAGGCTTAGGGGCAGCTAATTGCTCTGCAATCACTTTCTGAAGAGTTGCAACAGGTTAGCCAGGCCTGAGCCATCATTCAGACTGCACATCCAGATATATCCTTGTCTCACCCTCCCTCCATCCTCCTTTCCTTACCTTTCACTATCGACACGGTGTTTAGTCTGCAGTTTCCCTTTGTCCTTCTGTGGGGCTGGGTCTTCTAGAAAGCTGTGGTCCAGACTGTCATCGGGAACAAAGTCCTCTACACTCTGTACTTTTGCAGGGGCTTCAGGGTGGGAAGGAGTGGCAGCAGCAGGATCTGCATTAGCAACAGTCATTGTAAAGCACAGGGTTCACCACAAGCAAGACAGAAATTTACAGATCTATCCTGCTCAGGGCCTCTTCAGCACACAGGCAGCAGCCACGAAGTTGGGACCTCAGCTACACAGCAAGGGAGGAGGAAGGTTATGAACAGGATACCCAAACCAGTTCAGAATCTTGCATGAAGGCCACACATGGCTCCCGTGGTTTAAGATGCACCAGGCTGACCCAGGCTCTTAAATAGTCTGAAAAACTCTCTAACATGGTGGCTGACTCTGGTCTACAGTGAACACTATGACTGACTATACCACAGCCAGATTTCATACCTATGCTGTGTGCACCGCTCCTGTGTGACGCCCCTTCATTATTCTCTTACCTTCTCCAGACTGTTCAGTTCACCCACTCACCTCCTCTTGTTTTTTCAGCTGTAACTGTCAAAGGCAGGATTTTTCACACAGTGCTTTTAGATGCTCTGTGTAACCAAAAGCTCAAGAGCTACTGCAAATAGAGACTTGCTTTAATATAGCTTATTTGTAGAGACACCATTACCCATCTTCAAGATATCAGGATGAAATCTCATGAAATTAGCACAACTAAGAAGCCTAAAGTGATTAACCTTTTCAGAATTTGCAATATTCAACCTTTTTCTTCTGCCTGGCCTGCACTTCACATCTAGGCTCTTTTCTTTTGGGTGAACAAGATTTACGTATTTTTTCCTAGATTTTGCTCTACTAGTATAGCTTTCAGATCACTTTTGCATACAAATGACACTATTACTAATGCCATAGAGTAGCGTTGGTGTAAGAAAAAACACAGCCAAAAGAATCACTATTGCAAGACTTCAAGGGAAAGTTTAAATAGCAGCTCCCATAAAAAACAAGTATTACTTTGTGACAGTGATTTTTCAACTGCTTTCCAATTAGCTAGTCCCTAGGTATGTTCCAGTAGAGGTGCAGACCCTTGGCACACTACATTAACCTAATAACACTGACAGATCAGCTTTTTCTAGCTGCCTTTTGCAACCCTCCTAAAAAGCACCCTTGAGATACCAGGACTGCAGGCCACAAGCCTAAAACAGTTCTCAAGCTAAGTAATAGATTTAAAAAAAAAAAGAAGAAAAAACCCCAAATCCCAAAGATTGTAACACTGGTAGTAGATCACTTGTCTTTTTTCTACATATCAATATGACAAAGGCTTTTTTATTGACAAGGGATTTCTAACATTTGCTCCTCCTTGCTTATTTGTTTTTTTCTGGGTAGGAAGAGTCACAAACAAACTGAAATGGGTGTACTGTGTCATACCTGGTAACAGATTCAGGATGCAGAACATTGTGTGCAGATCTAAAACTGAAAGATTTCAACGCCTGAAACTGCAAACTGTGTTCCCAGCACCTCCTCCTTTCTTTCTGTGGGTGTCTCAAGAGTACTGCGAGCTCTAGGGATTGACAGTTTGAGAGGGAAGGTATTTCCAAAGGGTGATTCAAACTATGTCATGCTAATGATTTTTAGGCAGTGCCAGCTCTGCAGCTCCAGTTAGCTTCGCAAACAAAGTGAATGTGACAGGAAAATTAAGGTCCAGATCAGTAGAAGTACATGCAACAAAACCCTTCATGCTTCTGCCCTGCAACTTCGTCTGGCAGGGGTTTGGACCAAACCCTGCTCCATTGTGTACTAGTGCTAAGGAAGAAGTCAAGGCAGGCTGCCCTCCTCCTCAGACCATCTCTGAAGGAGTATATTTCCCTGGAGGGGAATCTGCTGCAGAGCCTGGACTTCCGTGATCATTTCTGGCTGACTGCTGACTAACCTTTAAAACCAGCACTCCGCTGTTCTCCGTTAACACACAGAAGCCCCTTTGAGCTGCCAGAGTTTTGTGAAGACAGAGCTTCAAATAGCTTCTTTAACAATTTTTCTTGCTATTCAAGAGGCATATGTGCTCTTGGTAAGAAGCTGACAGTTATTTTATTAGTGTCCCCTGCGTCTTCAGTACCTCCCTCCTGAAGCACGCTACAGCCACCACCCAGGTGGCTGGACACAGTCCCCATCCAAGCCCAGCACAGAGACAAACCAAGATGCCAATCAGGAGAAAAATAGAGTGTGACAATGCAGCTCTCCCTGGACACAGGCTGCACACACTCTGGGAGCCTGTGGTCTTCAGATACCTGTCTGCTCAGCCTCTCGCAGGGAAAAAATGAAAGGAAAACTGAGAAACGCCCACAGGTGACGCCCTGCCTAGACACTGCAATCCAGCACCTACCTGGCTGGGGAGGAGAGGGGTCTGACACAGGAGACGTCCCAAACAGACGCGAAATAATGCTGCGTTTCGGTGGCGGGACTGCAGCCGGAGGTGCTGGGGAGGCTGTAGCTGGTGGAGGCGCGTGCAGTTGCTGGGCCTCGGGGGCAGGCACTGGTGAAAAAGATGGGGGGGGGTCAGGAGAGATGGTGGAGCTTGTGGAAAGCGGCTGCGGCGGTTGCGGGGTGCCAGGGCTGGAGCTGCCTGTTGATGTGGAGCTCGGAGGTACTATGGGTGACTGGGAGCCAGACGAAGGGCTTTGTCCGTTAGTTGTTAGTGGCGACGTGTGTCCTCGACTTCGGGCTTCCATCATTTCAAGGAAGCTGCAGGGAAGATAAATTGCAAATATAAGGAATGAAGAAAACATGCTCAACAGAGCACCGAGCACGATGCTGGGCTGCTTTGGCTATGTGCTGAGCTGGGAGGGTACAGGTCTGCTTTTGGTGATGCTGCGACTCCCTGGGCCACAATAAATCTGGTTCACCCATGGGAGCTAAACTCACCCTGTCTGCATTGAGGTGTGGAGAATCCCAACCTGCTTTGCTCTGCAGGATGAAACCTACATTTGCAATGCTGCTGGGAACTCCCTGGATAGACAGCCTATAACAGCATGCCAGGGCTTGAAACACAACCTCAAGTTAGTTCTTGGACATATGTCTCTAAGGGAGTAAGCATTACAGGAATGGTACATTTTTAGATTCAGCAGAAGAGATCAGAGCGTTCAAGAAAACTCACATGCTATAAAAACCTCTTCTTTCAGCCAAGAATGGATTTGAGAGGAGAATCCTTGAACATCAAAAGAAAAGAGCTATCCAGAAGGGTCACAGAGGACTGATTGCAATTATCCTTCTCACAATGTGCAGATATACAGGCAGTCTCTCCCCCTGTACACACTCCCCCTCTGTGTGGGAGGCAGGGAAGCCAAGCAGCAGAAGCTCTGAAGCAAGTTGTGGTCCTGGCTGGATTCCTGACTAGAAGAGCAACAAAGCCTGTACTGCTAGAGAGGGTGAAATGCTCTATCCTTTTCAAAAAGGAAACCAAGCCTGATCCTGCTGCAGCCTCCTTCAGCAGCCCGTTTGGTTAGCAGTCTTTTCACAAGCTCTATACAAAGAAACACTAACAGAAAGCCAGGCTTTTACTATGAAATGGTCTCAAAATAAGATCTGCTACATGCTGTACATCTGAGAGATATAAAGAGGACACCCAAATTGAAGTATCATGTATAAAATCTAGCACATGTCACCGTCTCGCCTCTTATTTCATTAAGCCTAATGAATTCGTCCACAGAGGCTCTGGGTTCAACTGCTTGCACAAGACAGACAGACTTGGTTGTGCTCCAGGCAATGAGTATGTCAAAACAGAGACTCCTCTCCCATACAGAGCATGACCTTGTCCTTCAGGGACTTGAGCCAGACAGACACCTTCACTGGAATGGCTGCTAAGCAGAAAGCAAACAGCAGGGGCTAAAAGACTCTAAACCCCCTTGAGTTATCATTTCCTATTTTAAGAAGCAACCTGATATACTTTTAAGGAACAAACTAATATACTTTGTGACCAGCAGTGTCTGGAGCCCTAGAGAACAACATCGCCAGGAAGCTGTTAGTTGAATTGGAAAACCAGCATCCTTCCTAACTAATGAACTGGCTGAAGGGGAGATAAAGGGTAGCACTAAAAAGCAGTATTAGTTAGGAGAGAAATCCTTGGTAGAGTTCCTCAGGGATTATCCTTGAGATATATTTCAGCATTTCAATGAAGCGGCACAGAGATCAGGGAAATGCTCATGAGGTTGCAAGTTGGGAGGCAGCATCAACAGAGAGGAGAACAGGGGCAAGACACAGAAAGAATCAGATGATCCTGAAAAACAGAAATGGGAAGAAATACAACAGTACAAAGGAAATAGTAATCTGCTCAAGGGCTAGGAAACAAGTGTTCTTGCTCCAAGTTCACCAAATGGCTAGGAAAGACTCGCCTCAGTCATTCCAGAAGACCAGACTAAAGGCTGCAAACGCAATGCTGCCTGGGAGGAGCAGAAAAGGAGCCTGGCTGTCACACGGCTGTCTACTGCCTGTCCCCTGAGACCACTGTCAAGGCACCTAAATTAGCGCTACACTGTGGTAGCCTCACTGATGCTTCCACCAGGATGTGAGGCAAGGCTTATGTGCTTATTCCACCCAGCAGACTGGCTCCCAGCAGAGCTGAGATCAGAGCATGAGACAGAGCATCCATTCCAGCATCCTCCCTTCCAGGGGACTAGTGGCTGGGGTGAGCTGTGCGACAACACATTCCACTGACAACGATGCATGGATTTGTCATGCATCAAAGAGAAAACATAAAGGGGTTCAACTCTTGCACCAAGCTCTGTGGAGACTGCGTCAGATTTGTTTGGAAGGCACAATGCATCACACACACCGCAAGAATACAACAGTGTATTTTCAGGGCCCCTCTGTCACTGCACTGCAGGGCCAAGCAATGGCACATCACTCCTTTCTTGCGGAGCGGGTCACCATACATGCAATTCAGCTTTCCTCAAGGCAGACTACGCAAGGCATCTGTGGTGAGGGAAAGATAAACCAAGGGTACCTGCAATTCAGCCCTTGTCCAACAAAGTGAATGCTTTGAATCCACGATGCCATGTGGCCTGAAAAGCCATCCACAAGACTTGCCTGCACAGGACGTGCAGCTCCGCAGATCCACACCAGAAGCACTGAGTGCTAAATTCTGTCATCCCTCCCCTCTGACCTTTGATTCAGGGCTCCCAGCGAGCCAAAGGCAGGATGGCTGAATAGCTCTGCTTTGTGGTACTCATTCCTCCTCCTCCCAAGCCCTACTCAGGGTTAAAGACTCCTGCCTCCCAACTGTGAAGAGAGATTAATCTCCGCTGATCTACATGCACCCCTGTTCCTGTTTATAGCAACAGCGATCCTGGCTGGAAGGCCTGCAAGCTTGGTTACTGCTGCATCCAGCATCCAAGATACTGATGCCAGCGCTGCTTGCTCTCCTGGCTGAGCTGAGCTCCCTGACCGCCTGTGTGAGCACCTAGATCACCAACGCTACATGAAAACAGAACTGAACCTCTGGGTCTCTGATCAGGATGCTGGGTCCCACCATCGAGGCAACCGGGTGACTCAGGTAGGATAAGATGATTGTACACTGAAGACTAAGGAACAAGGATCCTTATATACAAATATATACAAAGTACGTATATAGTCATTTTAGGATACAGAATATGAAGCTCAAAGAGTACTTAAAGCTGGTCCCAACAAAGCGCAGGACACTCTTTACAATATCAGGATATTTAAAGATTTACTGTACTTTGTACTACCAAAGCTGCCCATTTTGGAAACAACCTGCTTTGTTCTGGGCAAGTAGCCAGCTCCTGAGGGAAGGAGGGCTGCGACTACCACCTGTTTCTCCTGCAGAAACACAGGAATTTTAAGAGCTGGAGGGAAAAAATGCGACATAACTGAAGTATAAAGAGTGTCATCCTTCCCTCCAGCTCTGCTAGTCTGGAGACTAACACACATGCAGGCTTCTTTCGCACCTGTGCTCCTATGCCTTGCTCACCTACATTATGTGAAGGGCATAAGAACAAGAGACAGCAAGCTATTTTTAGTAGAAAGATACAATGGTTATTTGGGGACAGCACGACACAGGTTCTTACCCCAGCACAGCACCAAGGAGAGCTGTGGCACGTGTGCTTCGTGTCACCTTCCTCATCTCCAACCAGACACGTGGGCCAAGCTCTGTGCTGTGTGCCATGATACTGGGGAAATAAGGATGGTCTGATACTGGTTTTACATGGGCTGCATAAACCAGCTCTGCTGAGCTTTCATATTCATATCTTCTTCTGTGAAAGACGTGGGTGGAAAAACAGCATACACGAAAATGCTGCCAGCAAGCTCTCAGTAATTTCCAGGGTGGAGGTGTCTAAGCATCCTCCACACTTTGAAAATACTACATAATGCATGAATGCTTTCTCCGGCTTTATACACACTCTTCAGAGGCCCAAGCATGGCTGTTTTGGGAACACACCAGGCCAGATTTGCCACGTGTCTGTTTTTTCTCATATTCTATACAATCTGGCCACTGCATTCCTTGTTCTATCTTTTTTGTCAGTCCTTTGCAAAAGGACTCACTCAAAGTCTTACTGTAAAACAAGCAGCTTCATGTCCACACTAGGTGTAGTAGATCAGGTCCTATTAAAGCACAAGATGAAATCATGCTGTGACCTGAGTACACTTGTTCAGTTGGGATACAGAGATAGCAAACGTGCCACGCAAGTCCAGATGGGTTATCTGTCCTCACCCATGCAGGCTCCTTGTTTGCCTTTCAATCCTTCCATTTCAGACCAAGTACCAAGTCCACATCCTCAAAACCCCGGAATAATTCACTGTCAGTTGGACCTGCTCACAAGAGGAGAATTCTATGCAATTTTAAAGATGAACATGCTCTGTGGGAACAAAAATTCATCAGGGCCTGAGGTTACTGTTGCTCTGCTCCCAGAGCAAACAAAAAAAAGCACAAAAGGACTTGTAAGCCTCACCGTTCCTGAAATTGTCAGCGGTCATGTTCATTTACTATTGAAGACGGGAGCAGCCTGAAGCTTTTTGGCTCCTGGTTCTAACATGCTGTGATCAATTTTTCAAATGCATTTCATGTGGCAAGAAATGTTTTGGGTTATTTTATTAATTGTGAAAATGAAGATTAACAGGCCATGTGACATCAATTTAACTGGGGTTATCGAGGGTTAGATTTCCACATGTTTGTTTTGGGCTCATTAAAGGTACTAAACCTGATTCCCCCCTAAGCCCAAGTCCCTGAATGTGAAATCAATTGCCAAGCAGGGTTGAACCCTGCCGCCCAGGCCTTGGAGAGCACAGCCCCTCCCCAAGATCTCCTCAGGTTTTCCACTCGACACAAAATGGATGCAGCAGGATAACCCCCGCTCCACAACATACGGGACACGCTCCATGTTCTCCACTTCTCTAGCAAGACTGATGATGATAGGCTTAGTTGCGATTAATTCTTAATGCAGCCCCACACAAAAAACATGACCTGAAGTCCCATCTAGTACACACTGGCTCCTGATCTGTCTGATGGCAACAGTGACTCACAGCAAGCAGAAATGATAAAGGTGGGGCAAGGGGAAGAGAAAGCAAAAGTGGTTTACTTTCCTAACTGGGAATTCAGCCTTTAGCCGGTGTGATTCCGGACCTGGGCTTCAATATAGCTGAAGATATGGGAGAACAGCTCGAGCACCAGGTCCTCCTGCCAGACAGTGCTGGTGTTACTCAGCACCACGGTCTTCACAAAATTACGAGCTGTGCTGAATGTGGAAAAAACAAACAAGCAAATAAAACCCAAAAACCCAATCAATGACTTTGTAGTGAATAACGCTATCTAATGCAGGGACCGTGTCTCCCAAAAGAAGAGACCTCATCAGGAGAGCGCAAACGCCTTTCTGCAGTCACTAGTCCATCATCTTCCATACCTGGACAGTAGCACCTGGCTATCCAGGATCCCCTGACAGTGCAGATGACAGCCGTACAGCACTGCTGGGAAAGGACCCAGAAGGACTTCCGTCACGTGGCAAACCTGGGACAGGTCCTGCTGTTGCAGAAGTTGTAGCTTGGATCATACAGTATCTCAGATAATCTGAAGTTCAACTGCTTTGAAAATATTTTTACAAAGTTTGACTAACTGTTTGCATAAGAGCTCTTAAATGCAGGGAGTAAATAATCTGAAAATTCATTTCTTATGAACAATTCCTGTGAAGAAGTTGGACTTCGAGGGCTTACAGATCAAACAATCACACCGTGGTTTATAGACGACAATTTCCTGAAGCTTCTCAAAACTGAGTGTGAAAGAAGATGGGATATCTCACAAACAATAACTTAAGTATTCCTTTTGAATAACTTATACCAATCCCTAGGAAAAAAAAAAGTTAATTCAAAGAGAGTTGATTACTTAAACCTTAAAATTAATTTTGTCTTTTGATATTAAAAAAAGAGTAATACTAGAAAAAATGCAGCCAAACATAAAAACTCATGAAAACCATACATTAAATCTGCTTCTTATTAACTTTTGCAAATGTTTCCACCAGCAATTTATTCTTGAAAAAAATGAATATGCAGGAAGAGCTTCCACAATTTCTCAAAAACTATTTCTCCATGTGCACCATTCAGTGAGGGATCAGGCACGCTGAACTTAAAAAGTTTTCCTTGTGACAGAAGATAAGCTGGGTACAATTGAAGATGGAAAAATTGAGCAAATTAAGTAAAAATTCAGAAAAGAGTAAAAAAAGTCATTGCTGTTTGTTTAATAAGAATTCAGGAACTCAAAAAGGGCTGAAACGTGTTTTTAGCAGCACTGAAAATGTAAAATATGAGAAACCACAGGGAAAGTACCAGAGCAAGAGGTGTGGCAGGCAGAGAGGAGACTAAGCACGGGGAAAGAGCTGGAAGCATCTAAATGTGTCTTACACAGGCAAAGCCCAGCCAGTGGCTGCCAAGGGATGGCTTACATAAGGTGGATGAGGCAGCGTTGTGTGCCACCTCGTGTTTTCTCTGGGATCCACATTTCGGAGCAATGACGTTTTGTCCTCAGGTACCCAGCCACAGCAGGAGGAAGAGTTCTTGTTCTCTTTCTGTTCTCTGATCCAAATTTAGCATCGGTCATTGTGACAGAGCAGCTACTAGACGTGCATGGGGGTGAATGAAATAACTGAGATGTCCTAGCACTGTCACCTCGCCTTGCTCCATGGCCTGATTTTATGGCAGGAGAGCAGGAACCGCCTCGGAGGAGGTGCTGCAGCAGCCACACCACGGCCTGCAGCCCCAAGTGCCTGCAGACACCTCCCCTTGCTGCGCAATTTGTGCTGACCAGCAGCAGAACTCCAAGTACTGCCTAAATCGAAGCAACCAACACAAGGCCTTCGCATCTGCCAAGGGTCAACAGGTCACACTGCACCAACGCACATGCTGTATGTAACAAGGCAAGTGTCAGAGGACAATGCACCAGGTGCTCATTTTGACATCCACCGCATTAGCATGTTAAACATGATAATCCCAAAATGATGGGCATCTGACAAACATGGATGCAAGGACGTTCCCAAGCCCTAATGAGCACTGCAGACTTGCCTCACAATTGCAAGCTCTAATTCCCACCACATACTGTCGTTGTGTCCACAGATACTCTGTTCACCAGCCTAAGCTGTTTATTAAGAATCGGAACTTTATCCAAACCTGAGGTCTCTGCCATATGAGTGTGGTTATTTATTTAAATCGGGACTTTGGCTAAAGGACTTGAGCCTGAAGAGCTCCCGCAGGGATGAAAAATGAACATAGGAAGAGTATAATTTTCAGCTCTGGGGTGGAAGTAACCCCTCAGCAGCTCATCTGTTTCAGAGAGGTGCCGCTGAAACAAACAGACTCTTCGTTTCTACCTGGCGTGCAGAGAAAAACCTCAAAAATCCTAAAATAGCACTCTATTTTAGTCAGTGTGATCAAAGTACTCAGACATGTCATGGCCCAGTGCTTTTCTTTTGGGATCAGTGGCTGAAGGCAGGAAGCATCCAGTGATATTTTAAAGACCTTTCTATAAAGAAGTGTTAGTTTCTGAAAGCAAAGAACATTGGTCTCAGTACACAGACATAAATGTGTAGTAGCCGAAGTGAAAGCAGAAGTTGGCCAGCTGCATAAAAATGTCAGTTTATTTGCTAAACCATAATCCTAGGAAAAATTCTCGCTTTTAACATTTTAACAATTCTTCTTCTGTCAGGTACCATGGCTAAGGTATTTCTTATGCCATGTTAAGCCAATTATGCAGCCTAATAGTGTAATTAGCCACCTGCAGTGCAAGCCCTCCGCAGCAGCTGAGCAGCAGTACTTTGCTACAGCACACTGCTCTGCAGCGCAGGAGAAGAGCAGCTACTCTGCCCGGCCAGGTGGTGGGCATCTATCTTCAGGTCCACACACCCCATCTCCTGCTCTTTCTGTGCTCACGAGCTGGTTTGGATAACGACAGGGCACTGACACGTGGGTCAAATGTTTATCTGGCTTTGGAGTTTCTGCAGATGACTCAGGGGCTTCTACTTGAGGTGATGCTAGCCACCACTGACTGCACCAAAAGCTCCTGTGAGCTTGCAAAAGGCAAAAACGTGCCTTTTGACTTGTTACTGCACAGTGCCTAGAGCAATGGGACCAGTCTGGCCCTAGGATTCTGGATGCTACCACATTACAAATGACACTCTTTAGTAACCACA